AAATAAAAAAAAGTATCCTGAAACCCTGGTATTAATTTTTCTCAATGAGATTTCGTATTATTATTCTAAAAATAGACTTGTTTATACAAACACGAATAAGATAAATGAGGTCAATTTTAATAGCATTGTGGTGTGTGCTACTTATATTGACATAAATAGTATATGACGTTAGTCATGAACAGAATGTCTGGCAGCAAAGGGACAAGAGGATCGAGCAGTAAAGAATCGAACAGAATGCAAGAACAATGAAGTCTGAGTCATTTTGAGACAATTGATGGACATTTTGCAAATTAAGCATTTACTTTATGATTGTTAGATTTTATTAACAAGTCCTGTAATTTCGAGTCAAATACATTCGATTGTCCCCATCCGTGTTCTGTTCAATACAACATCTATCATTGATTTTATTCCTATATTATTATAAATAAGACAGATCCGAATTGAAGTTGAATAGAGTGTAGTGCAAATCTGCAACCAACTAGTTGAGATTGTAATGATAATAATTACAACAATTATTGCTACATAATCATTTTATCATATGATCCATTTGAATAAATAGTCAAATGTATATTTTCAGTTTTTATTTTCATTAAGAAAGTTCAATTTTTATATCATTCATTTACCAAACGCATAAGTTTAAATAACTGGTATTGAACTTAGATTTTTGTGTAACACTTAAATGGAATGTGTTTAACCATTGGACCGTTATCATCATCATCTAAATGTAATTATTAGTTAGTAAAGTTTAGTTGTTATTTTCTCATCACTACTGAATGAAGCTGACTATCTCTTGTAAAATAAGTATTTCACAGATTGAAATCATGAGCAGTGATATGTCCTGGGTTCGAATCTCGCGAGGTGCGGGATCGTGAATGCGCACTGCTGAGGAGTCTCATACTAGAACGAAACGGCTGTCCAGTGCTTCCAGGTTTTCCATGGTGGTCTAGCTTCAACTGACTCATGATTTCAATTTGTGAAATTTCTAAAATCTCCACAAACCCCTTCTGAAAATAAGTATTTGTTTTATAGTAAGATGTTTTTGCTTTTCGTATGGATAAATGGGATTTTCTACCCGTCTGATTGTGATTTTATAAGTATTCATTTTTTTGTATATGTTACCATCTTGGAATATTGAATTAGGTGAGTTAAGTACATAGTCCGCGACTATCATACGGGCTTTTCAAATCAGGCATTATTTATTGAGATTGGGATTGAGTGTAAAAAGGTAGTTAGTTAATGATATGGTACCATGATATTAAAGGCAATTGTATAAAATTTGCATGCGTCAGTGAATCACAACTAAAGACTTCGTTCCAGTTGATAATCATAAGCAAGGCTTATTTGTAATATTGAGGGAACTCCTTTCAGGACTAAAAACGCATATCACCAAGCTTCGGAGTTTGAAACGTTATCACGGGACGTGACTGACTTTCTGTAGGACTGAGATATCAACATTTCGATTAAACACTGAATAGTAATCAATAACCTGCTTATCTACTCCTTAATGAGATGGACGAATTTTATTGATTAAGACCATCACCACTTTTCACTTGAGATTTAATTCGATGGCTTGAGGCGTTATCGTATATATTTCACAACTGAGGCCAGTGGAGATCCAAATGTAATTTTTTACTTAACTCTTCATAAAATTGAAAGAAACTCTTTTAATTAAAAGAATTAATTTTTCATTGTATTGTTAACTGAATTATATTCCCTATTGTACATTAATATTGTTCATTTATACCTTTTTTTCTTTCCAATCCACTTGTGCGGATCATGATTTGAGTACCCTGCACAATTTGTTGAAGCCTACAGAGGATTTTATCGTCAAAATAAATATTATTATAAAAAAAATTAGTAACTTGGTTTGAAACAGACCAAATTTGTATGGGATTGAGAGAAAAAATACTCTTGATGTTCAATTGATGAACACAGAAAACACAAGGTGTTAAGTAAAGTAAACCTTAATGATGAAAAAATGGAGTACAGCTATTCATATGTCACAGAAATATAAATGGCGACATTAAATGTGAATACACATATACATAGATTCGATTCACAGCACAAACCAAACTGTCAATCTTTTCTCTATATCACAACATATTTATTTATTTATTTGGACACATGAATATTGGTGCAAGAGAGCGCCAATATATATGCGCCACACAAAACAATGAAAATTCGAGAGGAATACAAAGAAAGAAAAAAAGCTAAGGAGCGCAACAAAAAAAAGAGAGAACAATAACGAAGAGATTGGTGTAAGGTAATGTGCTAGTAATCAAGGAACGAAAGGTACAATCGGAAGAAATCTTTCAGGTAAGGGAGACAGAACCACTTTTTATGAAGAAAGTAAAAGGTTACAGCAGGATCGCCACTGGCTTCTATTCTGAGCCATATCTGATAACGTCTCTAGCCATTGTGTAGCACCATCTCTCAGACCCCAACCAGGGAGTCGTGAAGGACCAACACAAGCCAGTCCTTTGCAGCTTTCTTTCATGCCACGACACCATGTCATGCACTGACCACCATCACAACATAACAGTTACATTAATGAATAAATAATCATTTTGGGTCGGATTTTAACTATCGATTAATGTCATACGTTAAATAAAATTGATTCAGTGAAGAGCTCACTTCTCGACGAATTGATTTTCAAAGCTGTACAACAGTAAATATATATACTTCTTTTTTTTCAAGGTGGTATGTGCTTATATATTGCCTTTGTTATTTAGAACGGCGATTGATCAGTCTTATTGGCATATGTGTATACTGTGCCTATTGCCTCGATATTGTCTTAATTCACAAGCATTCTCAGCAAACTATTTATTTATTTGAACAGATAAATACTGGTACAAGGGGGGCACGAGATACATATACGCTACACAAATCTCATTTGATCTGTGTGAGGGCTGTGATACTGCCCGAGTGCCCAGCAAACTAATAAACGTTTAATTGTTAATGGTTTAAATATTCATCAAAAGATAGATAAGGAAATTATCATTGGGAAAGGATGGCTCAGTATAATAAGATAAAATGTTGAAATTAAGATTAAATGTAATCAGGAGGATTATAGGAACGATTATTAGTTTACCTGTTTAAGAAAATAATTTTAATACCTTTACTTATTCTACCTTACTGTCATTATGTCTAACAGAGGTTTATTATCATCCTGAAAAAAGAAGTATATATATTTGCGATTGTAAATCATTGAAAATGAATTCACCGAAAAGCAGAACTCTTCACTGAATCAATCTTTCTTATTTAATGTCCAGTTAAACTTAAATTTTGTGTTAATTAGTTAGCGTTTATCATTAGCCTCATTCTTTATGACAGTCAGAGATATTATCAGTGGGCGATTGATCTCCTTCAGGTCGATTTTTATATGGGCTGATCACTGAGTAGTAACCAGCATCATGTTTATCTAAACCCTTAGTATTGATTAGATTCTATCAATCAAGTTGCAGTGTGGCTACTACTGGATAAACATAACATTAGTCGCTATTCAGTTATTTCGAGTGTGACTGATAAGACGTTTCAGACAGGGATTATTAAATTAGAAGGAATATGGTTAAAATTTAAAACTTCAATAGTGAAGTAAGGCTAGGAGCAAACATAAAGGTGTCTATTATTTATAAATCAGAATAAACATGAATTCAGTGCATTTGACACTTATTATGAGGTAGTCTAGACACATTTTCCGTAACCTCCGATTGGATGTTTATAGAACATGTACATATATGGCTTCAGAACCAGTTAGTCTCAACTGTTCCGATAAACATAGGGAGTCGAAAACCATGTTTATCAATAGCAAAACATATAGTTGAAATGGAGTATAGGAAAAACATCAAAATCAACTGACAAGAACGAATTCTTAGGTTTGTGGAAGCCTTGGCTATTGAAAAATTTAAACTTCCTTTTTGTGTACAGAAATAATTTGTTGTAACCTTGACATCTAGCCTAGGCCATTTTACAGCCTAGGATGGTGTGACGAATTTCTGTTCTTTTAATATGAACTTTTTCATTCCTTTTGTTTAAAATGACCCCTTTGTTTATTTGAATTTTATTAACTTTCATGTAAAAAGGAATTAACAAATATTTATAAAAACAGTTTGTTCGAAATGTACAACGCAAATATATCAAACTTTTCAGATCAACTCCGTCTTTTGATTGCTCTATCAAAATTTATAAAAGGGACTAATAGGTCTTCCTAGAACTAGATATATTCGTGATACACGAAGTTACTCACTGCTGAAGTGGAGATTTTATGGATGAAATTGATATATTAGGAATTAATGATTAAAAAACTGTAAGCCAAGTAGCTCAGGGGCGCAGATATAACTGTGTTCTTCTAAAACGTGGACAAGTCATTTTTCTGTTGGTGTAAAAACCGTCGTCACTGTTATAACCTGGTTATAATTAAGAAAATCGAAAGATGGATACACAAGCAAACTCGACGAACAGATATATCCTAAAACTCTCAAATTAATCTGTACTGATCTCCCATCAACTTTCGACTCGACACCTAAACAAGTGAGAAAACATTGGGAAGTCAAACGGTCATTACGTGATCCATGAGTGAGAAAGTCAGTATTTATACATTTTTAGAGTATCCTTGGGAATCACTCATCTAAGATATGTTTTGTAGAGCCTGGCTTGACGGTAGGCGCGTGATTCGAAATGGTAACCGTTAAAAATTCCTTTGTCGAATGGCTTGGGTCGAATTTTCGGGAAATAATATATTTGCTTTCCTCCCATTTCACTTCATTTAAATCCTACTTGATATTTATTTAACTTTCCTTTGTTAAGCACTCCAACATGAGCCAATGCCCTGCAGAACATGGCTTCGAATAATTAATCGTCCATCCGTACCTTCCGAAATCACTACTTCATCCAGATTATCATCTTAAGTGAGTAGTAGTAGCATTAGCAATTATTTACATTAACAACATACATACGTAAAATGATAATTAAAATAGCAGTTCAAACAAACTAAGACTAACCTTTGATACTGGAACACTCATAATAAGGATTATTGCCATGAGAAATTTTTCTTTTACCAAATCATTAATTACTTGTTTACACCCCTAAAAAACATACGCAATTAAATAATTACTGGTAATATTTACATAAATTTCTTTATAGGATGTTTTGGAGATTGTTGAATTTGAAGTTTCACATTTTAGACCAACTACGGTCAGACAATTACTGAAAAACAGGAAGCACTGAACTCATTAACAATACATATCTACGTACACCTCCGCTAACAGGGTCGATTTCAAGACCTTTAGGACACTTTTGGACTATTAAGTTGGCATCCAGTGACATACTACTAGAAAGGAAAACCTGTCCAGTGCATTTGGGTTTTCAGTGACTGTCTAACTGAAGTCAGTCCATGATGTTAAGCTATAAGTTATGTAAATATTCTAAAACAATCGTTACACATACAAATGATAAGTAAGAATAACGAGTTGGTAAAACACAAAATTACTGGGAATATTTCAACCTTAACAAACATTCCCAACAGATCGTGTAATTTCATATCTTTAGTCATAGATTTTGATCATCGTACAGATTGTAATCTGAAAGGATTGATTAAACAGTACAACACTGATCAACCAATTATATTTAGTATAGTATTTCTTGAAATTTTTCGAATTTAAAACACCGTAACAAGTAATTTGTACCTACTTCACCAATAACTAAGTAAAACCTTCCAATATTTGATTATAAAAACACTTAACATAGATAACCATACCAAAAATAAACTTGTGGTGTATGCTACTTATGTCTATCGAAATAAGTAGTATGTAACACCAACTGGGAGTGGAAAACCCGGTAGCAGAAGGCTAAGAAGATTGAGTTAAAAAGAACAAAAGGTAAAATAGAAAGAAATTGTTGAATAGAAGGATTATGCAGAATGTGAAGGACAAATGATGGAAATTCCTAAATGAAGCATTTAGTGTATGGTTCTAATATTTTACCAAGGAATTCTGTAATCTTGTGTTTAAATACAACCGGTTGTTCCCGCTTAAGTCTTCGTTTATTACAAACTGATCGTCAGAAGGTAATCAATCTTTTATAAAAACAGATAATGAAATTAAATTACATATTATATTTTAACATGATTCACAAACTTAACATAAAGTTTCTTGAGCTTTGAAATCAAAGAGCTAACTGTCCATTTGACTACAATGTGTCCTCTCATCTTAACGTTTTTAGTATACTACAATAAATTATTTATTTATACTACCAGAGTTATGAATGCTTAATGACTGGGCTAAGTTTGAATGTTAATTTTCGAGTCGCTTAAAGTGGTAAAGAACAGCCATTCCGAAAAATTCTATGTATAGTCTTGTAGACTTCTAACCTAATCAACCAATTGATGTCATGCCATATGGTCTTAAGGTAGCCCTGGAGGCTTAGTGGTTATAGTATTCGAATTTCAACCATTGGATTACAGATTTGTACCACGCTTAACCCTTCACATGGTGTGATTTGAAGTCAAGTAAATAAATTTATACTTTGTGAGTTACAACAAAGGTAGCATTGGGAATAACTGTTGAACAGTCCATTTCTTATTCGGTACACAATCCAATATCTAACAAACTCTGAAGAAAAGATAAATTCTGAAAAACAGTGAATAATCCATCCCAAAAGTGAATTTCATGTCAGATATATGTACAAGAGGAAATCACTGTTAGTCAAAATGAGACCCAAGAGATGAAATAGCTATAAATACCCACATATTTGGCATGGAAAAAAATTCTGTAAGACATAAAGAAATAGGAGAACTCTGGAAAAATGCACATAATTGACCTATGAAAAAGTAAGACAGGTTACTTTTAATCTCTTGTCTGATAAAGAAAGGTGAAGGAAAAAGAAACAGGAGGAGAAAACATAAATCTCTACCTTCTACTACAACCATCATCACCATAATCAATTTACAAATTATATTGCCCCAAAATGTCAAAAAAGGTAGAGAAATACACAAGGTCATTTAGTGAATAATTCACTATATATGAATCCTTTGCGTTAAGTAAAAAAAAGTGTAAGGCAAGTTATAAACTGATAAATGGCTTATACGTATACATCGATATATAGTTTCTGACAGATATATAACAAATGTGTGCATACTAGTTTATCAACCATGGAGCAAGGTATATAAGTTATTGATTAAGATATATCCTTGATTGTGTTTGAAGCATTTGTTAATGTGGTTACCACGTATAATAGCTGAAACAGAACCTGTAACCCTCAGTCAGTAACAGATAACATAGCATCTAACATGAATATGAGTCACGTCAAGACCCCATAGCTCATCACATCAGTATAGAAAGTAATGGAATAATAGAGATGGAAAATAGGGGTAGACAAGTAATACTAACTGAAGTAGAAAGCTAAACACGATGAATGTAGCCTTGAGAAGATAAACGGAATAAAAGAATGGGGGATGGATGAAATTAAGCACAAAAGCAGGAAGAAGTAGGCTATCTGGTTGAGGCCAGAGCGATAACTATGACCAGTGGTTGGAAATATTGGGCGACACAGCTCATAACAGTGCAATAACTCAGAAGCATTTACTCTTTATCCCCCAATATATGCTGATTTTCAAATTTATTATACACCTCTTATTCTGAAGATTTATTCAACCTTCTCGAATAGAATTCCCTTCGCATGTTTTACTACTATCACTAGTCCTACCACTAGTTCGGCATTCACCTTGATAGTTTCACTTAGCTGAGCTGATGTGACGTACCAGCGTGAGCCGATGCACATATGCCAGGTTCTACGATGTTTATGGCTGAGTGACCGATTCCTCCACTAGTAGGTTAGTGTTTAGAAAACCAGCTTTTCAGCCAGTGGCCTTCCGGTTTAAACCCCACTGCATTTATTTCTGTCATGGTAGCTAGGCGAGTGGTAGAATCACTAACCCTTACACAACCAGCATGGCTAAGTCAGTCACCCATGGTTCTTGATCCTTCCATCCTTGTCTGGTTAGTTCAAGGCCGATGAAATCTGAAATAAAATTCTCATATTGAGATATTTAACACATTGTTGGGAAGATATCTGTTAGGGGACCTTATCGATTTGAGGGTACTGTTAATAGCCACTCTCATCAAATCACACTAAGGAAACAGGTGACTTCGAAGCATGTCACATGTTGATAGTAGTGACTCATTCACCACCAACGTACACCCGAGCACATATGTACTTCAGTCCAAGTCGCCATATTACGTTAACATAATTAAAAAAGACGAATACCAAAATACGTCAAAATAATATAGCATAAATGACGTCGAGAAAGATTGGAAGTTGAGATTATTCGAAAAAAGAAAGCAGAAAATTATGTCTGAAGAAATACCGAAACTCACAAAAAGAGTGCATCCGTATCAATGTGACTGATTGTGGCTTAGATCACACAGTCCTTAACCATTGATTGCATTTATTAAGCGAGCCCTAACCACGTAATTTGTAGCTATCTCCTCAGCTCAAACCAACAGTCTATGAACCCATCGACTGATTCAATATCTTCGTTAGTCCGACCCTAACTTTTTCTAGCTCACTCCCGCACAAGCCAACATCACCCGTTGATGTAAACGTTATTTTGGTATACTTAACACATATTCTAACTACCTCAACTGATGAATAACGACAACTTCATCAACACTGTGAATAAAACTTGAGTTTTCACATATGCGATTGGTGACATAATGCCGATTCACCGGTCTTCATTTCCCAATTTCCTTCAGGGTTTCGCACTACGCGTCCTGTGTTTAACTTATCTTAACTAATACGAATACCACTATTAATAGTTTTCCTGTTTGTGCTTCGTTAACTTCGTTTTGTTATTGATAATTCGAGTGTGCCAACTTGAATCAATTCATATTTGCCCTACATGTTGTAATGATTAAGACTAATCAAGAACTTTGAAACTATTTCGCAATCGAGTTTTGTAGTAGCATAAAGCTAATATTATCCAATACAAGCTTAGAATACCTTATCGAGGGCATTTCTGACGTTATTAGTAGGTTTAAGATGTCAACCCAAAGAATGTACTGTAGAATAACAAAGTTAGTCATCATCAAGGTAGAGCCTGAGACAGGTGTATGTCTCTCCAAGTCTATGTACCACAGCAACACAATGAGATAAATAGCAGAGTCAAAAAAATCTTAATAAAAATGGCAATGAAAAAAACTGAATATTGGTAGTATAATACGGAAAGATAGAGTGGAAGGTTATGTATGAAAAAGTGCTAGAATTCAATATCGAGAAGATAAAAAGTACAAGCACCTGCACCATAGTAAATATTTTAAATCATATTGGCCAAAGTTACGCTGTATAGTTAAGCTTCGGTGGTGATCGGCAACCTATATTCCACGAGAGATAACAGACGTAGGTAAGGGATGCTGAAATCGAGCTTTTTTTCCCATATACAGACATATTAGCCAGTATTGCGCATTGGACGTAAATGATGCTTAGGGTTGAGTACCATATGTCCTAACCGCTTTAACGACCCATGCTTTTTTTAATCTAATCCCCTGAATGTAACCGGTTAACGAGAAGTAAATAATTCGGGGTTTTTTTCGTTTTCTAACTGCCTTGGTTATTTGCTTTCAATCGACTGAGTGTTGTAGTCGAAGAAGTAGTATTACGAACTGTCGTTAATCATAATTATTATAATAGAAACAAGTAACTACCTATTATATAGTTCTAACCAATTAGAATAGTCGGAAGCGAGGAACCGTTGACTTATTCACTGACTGTTCACACTCTTAGCAGAAAGAGATAGATAGGTTACATATTTGTCTGAATTATTTGTTAGAATTGAAATAATAACATTAAGTGTTGGTATATTAAAACTGTAATTAGAAAATCAGTCATAAAAAACAATGTAAACCAAGCAGTGGTACGTAATGGTTTGAGTTGTTAGATTTCTCAAGACGAGTGAAGTGATTAGCAAGCTCAACCACTTCATTTTTTATGGTCAAACTAAGGTATTGACACAATAGAATATCGGTGGAAATTTTATTTGATGAAAACCAACCATTTTAACAAAACGGATAAGCAATCACAATTCATTTAGGAGAGAAATTATACTTATCACCTACTATAGTGTACGAGGCAGATTTGTCTGGACAATTTCGATGCTTCGGAATACAACATGATAGTGGGACAGTTAATCCTGGATAATCATTCATTCCGTTGATACCACAACAATGAAGCTGTAGAAGCAAAAGAACAGAATAAATGAAAAAATGTCAATGAAAACAACTGCGACTGTCTTATTTTCTAATAAAATTACGGATGAATTGAGTTTTATAATCACCTTTATAAGTGATTGATCATTTAGTAGTGAACAATGTCATGTTTGTCCGGAGAATTTTTTAACGCTGATTGAATTCTATCAGGTAGTCGGTAATAAACCCTGCTCTAAAGTTTCATTTCAGCTGGCACTCCTTAATAAAGCGTGCCTGTAATCTTCAGGGAACTGGCGCTTCCAATGGGATTCGAACCCGTGTGACCAGACTAACGAACAGTTATGTGACAGTATTCGTTACGGAATGTCTAAAATATCGATAAAAACTATGAACCTGACCTGGCTCAACTTTAATCTTTTATCATAAATTTAATTCCGAATTATGCGTCTCCATCACTCATTTAAACCTTTTAGCATAATATTTAACTAGAGTGATAAGAACAAAAGTTTAAAAAGTTTTCTTTATGATCCAAGAAATACAAATATTTTGAGTGGCTTGTACAGCCTTACTAGTGTTAGCTAGTGAGCGAGTGAAAGTCACCAGTTTTGTTACACAGTTATAACGTCAGGCAGGGAAATATTTACCCTGCCATATAAACAGTTGCATAGTATTGGTTTAGTGATTAGATTTAATGACATGTTGGTATTTTTGGATCCTGTAATGTGCATCGGTTATCATTAAGTGTACCATTTTTCTTCTACTTTGCTCAGCTATTCTCCATCCCAATGGGCAGTTGATCAGTCAGTCATTCAGTCAGTAACAACGTAGAACTTCGTACGTACGTACGTACATCAGTTCGAGTTGCCACACCACATTAGCACAGAGATGCAGTTGTCGATTCAAATCCCATAGTGGTAGAGGTTGTAAGAGTATAAGCACTAATCGGAAAGATTAGGGTTTGAAGATGTTATTCAAAGAGTATAATCCAGTGAAGAAAAAAGGAACATGAATAATTCAGAAGATTAGAATTTGGGAGAACACAAAGAGTGGATGCACCTGTGCCATTGCAGACGATTTTGAGCCATGTCATTCAAGATCTCTAACTATTGGTTGCTATCATCTCACGGTCCCCAACTAGGTAGTCTACACCTACTAACATGGCTCAGTCTACTTGTCAATGACTTCATGGACTTGTGCCATGGTGGGCAGGTGGTTGGAGGTCTGTATCTTACACTTGTTGGTAGAACATGCTGACGAAGACATTCATGGAGAAAACACAGTTGTTCTAGAGTGGAAGTCTACCTTTTGGCGAAATTGTCCCATTTTCGAACAACGAGAAGCGTACTACGCTCATACGATTTTGAGATGGTGGAGATTTGTAACTCAGGTGGATGATTTTGATACGTTTGTTTTGTGAACTGGATGGTTTGGTCGTGGAGCTTTCATCGTTCGTCTGAACGACATCATCAGCACAAACTCCAGGTAGAAGCTCCACGACCAAACTATCCAGCTCACAGAAAACTTCATCAAAAATGATTAAATTACTCGACTTTTAACTGGTGCGTTACAAGGCCGAAACTTGCACAACCTTATTTGCACCGTATAGTCCAGAAGTATCATCAACCCCCACACTTGCGAATATGACCAAAGTCGACTACACGACCCGTTACTTGGTTGTTGAGTCGTACTGATAATATCACGACTCAATTGTGTTTCAAACTCAGAACAAAATTTTCAATAACATGAAAAATGTTTGTTTCACATTTTCCAGTTTTTAGTAAATCTTGATTTTACAGTTGTTTCAAAACACAACCTTCTGATGAATTGATATGCCTTAAATTAATCCTATGAGATTGCTGACAAAAAATAGATTGACGAAAGATAATATTCTAGACAAAATTTCAGTGGCCATATCTACTGAAAAAACATCAGAGGATTTAAATATTAGGGTATTTACATCAAAATTATATTGTATCGTCATTTTTGCTTCCTTCGTCATAGATTAAAATTTAATTTGATAGCATATAACATCAAAATATAGAATAAATTTCAATCCTTTTGGTTATTAAACAATGGTGAATATGAAGAAAACGTACGCTTTTTTGTATCCAATCACGGTAAGAATCACTTTTGTCAAAGTTTTCATCAACTGATTCATTTTTAAATCGCATTATAATATTTTCTAAAGCTTGAATAATCCTTCTTTCCGTCTAGTATAGGTTAAGTAGTTACAATTTACTTACTTCAACTTTAAATACTAAACACAGGGCTGCTGTAGCTATTTCAACTCCGAACATAATAGTTAAACAAATAGAGTATGTTCCAAGTAGGCAGCGAGATTCATGATATGCTCCACAACATCCAAATACAGCCACAACAATCGTCAACAAGCCTAGGCCGATAAGAGCATATAATAAGTTCTGCATTTTATCGGCATGTCCAGAACGAGATACTGCACTTTGAATTAATGAATCCACATAACAATATACGGCAAAACATAGTATTGCGGCACCAATTAACTATTAATAGTGAGAATATATTGTTAAATATGAAAATAATTAATCCATGTGCAATCGAGAAAACTTAAGCGATGACTGATTTTGACAGACTAAATAGATCGGTTTAATAATAAATAGGTTTGGTCCACTAAATGACTGAAATAACCGTAAGTTTTGAATAATTTATTAGCTTGTTAGCCGTCAAAACACTTCAAAATAACACATGTGGGAATTAACAACAAGAACTGTAAAAGCTAAACTTAAGTACTTTGATTTCAAAACAGAACGGAGGGTCATGACACCGACCTCTAATTTCTATAATAAAATTTATCTTAACCAAAGACGGCACAAATATGTACTGGCTCAAGTTATCACCTTAAAGTGGGACAGAAAAAAAGAGGACAAGAAAAACGATCATACCAATTTGATTAAAAAGTTGAATGAAAAAATTTGTGGTCGAAGAATGGGGTGAAAAAACATGTCCAGCTAATACACTTTTATAAACTACTTAGTTCAGCAGCCAATGACTTTATGGTTTCATTGTGAAATCCCTTCTTTTATTTACTTATCCTATCAAACTTACTGGGCAATGAGTTCGGTTACTTTTTTGCGAGAAACGTTTATTTGATTTTCCTTATTTAGATGTCTAATTGATTAAACATTAGCTACATGAAAGGATAAGTGATTCAGTTAGTCAGTAAGGAGGACATTTTGTTATCTTGTTTGGTCTCTGTACTTTTATAACATAAATACAACAAATAACACAACATTGTTCGAATGTATACTTCTCTTTTCGTGTACAAGCGTATATCACCGAAGTCACAAATAAAATAAGTATATATTTTGAGTCAAACAAAATGACTAAGTGTGAAATTTCGAGTATTGTAGGAACTTGGGAATTAAAAACAAGGAGCAAAATTTTATGGGATGATTTTTAAGACCCTGTACACTTAGCTTAAAATTATAAATATAATATTAAAGATTCTTCGTCACTATGTTAAGAAACGTTTAACACAGTCAATCACAGGCACAGACATATTTTTGGATAAAATTTTGAGATTATTTATTTACTTAAGTACCTACGGGGATAAATTTCTACCAAACTCATTGCAAATCGGTTTTCTCTTCTATATCGTCAATTTGTAGACTTTTGAGTCAAACAATGACTCGTCTCCCTAGGGAATCGAAACCAGATAAGATCGAAAAATCAGTCACAACACTCAACAGGAACTCTGTCTGTATATATATCTTATAAATGTCACCGACTAGGTTCTCTGCTTGTTTAAAAGGTATACTATTTGGGTGTAAGCTTGGATAAGTTAAAATGAGTAATCAACCTCAAATTTCAAGAATGCATTGGGAAGCAGTTTGCTATTTCAAAAGTATCTGAAGGAATAAGAGCAACGACCTCCCGTAATATTTATTCGTAAACCAACTCATATATAAACCTTTTTATCAGGGCATAATACGACCTTCAAGACACTTTACACAAGAGTATAATGTTATAAAAAGAGAAAACAAGATGGCAGAAAATGAGTAACAATATAATGACTTTTTTCAGTCCATTGAAACTACTGGTGAGGTTGAAATGTGCACCAATCTCAAGTCGTTAGTTAATTATTCACTTCCTGCTATAATAATGTGGGCATTATATGTAATTTATGGGCAATCAATGGGAATCAATTAATTGATTTTAACGGTTGGATTCATGAGTCAATCTAAACTAGACCGCCAGTGAAAATATGGAAGCACTGGACGGCTGTTTCGTCTTAGTATGTAGTCGTGGATGAGAACTGCTGAGGAACCCCATACTAGGACTGCATAGCTATTCAGTACTCTCAGGTTCCTAAAGGTGGTCTAGCTTAGATTGGCTTATGAATTCAACTGTTGAAATTAAAATCTCCAGATACCCCTATTCTGATAATGATTAATTTTACCCAGAATCTTGAAAAACAAGTTATTAATTTCATATGAAACTTGAGACGATTTTTTCATTCTTGTTTTATTCCTTTGTCGTGAAACGTATTAGGAAGTGTAGATTTATGTAGTAGGTTTCAAACTAAGCTTATATGTGATGGGTAATGTCATCCAGTAACCCTGACTGAAGCAGAACTAGAGGTTCCGGCTTGACAAACTACGTGGTACAGTGACTGACACTAAAACCAAACACAAATCAGCTAAAATTACGGATACAATTAAAAACAGTTCTTAAATATATCTAACAATTTGCCACGACACACTATAACCTCAGATGTTAATCAGAACTCAATACCCGTAAAACAAGTATTGGTACCAGAATGCTTGGGCTGGTTTATGTTAAAAACTAGAAATACTCTATGTTTTTTATTAATTGCTAAATTTTAAAGCATACATTATTTCCGTCTAGATAAAACTACTGTTGAGTGAGTGGATATGATTCTCGAGTCCAGACAATGGAACAATTACATCCGGTCTTTGCACCAACCTCTCTGTTTGTCTACAATCCCCTATAAACGTACAAATAAGGAAGGTTTATGTAAATTCACCATTTGTTTGACTGATCAATTACACTACACAGACGAAGATGACCGAGGTTAAAAACAGTAGAAACTTCCCCAAAGTATGTTATTTCTTGAACGTACGTGTTCCGAATATGTGATGAAAGATACATCATAACTTGAAATATTTATTCATGCCCAAAGAATGAAAAATAAATCTTTAGTTATATTTCAATCAACTAGATGAACACAATAATACTAGGAAACTAATCTTACGGTTCTGGAGAAGAACGCACATCGAAAATATGTTCAGTACTTAGTCACATGAATATGGATTACGGAGACTTACGAGAAATATTACATTAAACGTCATTAATGAAACGACGAGAAACGTAGTACATCCTCTACCCATCTTCCCGCCTCTAAAGGTCGTGGAAGCGAAACGTTATAGGTTATCTGATTGTTCAGAAAAAGTAAATAACCCAACTGTGAATTTGGACGTTAGGTACTTATGACGTCTAAGTTTATTTAGTTTTATTTGTTTATCTTCATACAGTCTGATCATATGTCATTCCGAGGCATTAGTAATCATAGTTTTAGTTGTTGATTTCTATGTCGTTTCCAAGAGCAATGTGTCAGCTTGAGTCAGAACTAACATCTTCAAAGCAAAATGGGAGAAATTCCATACCCTTTGCACTCAGGAGATTGGACATTAGAACCAGAATCCTTCTCTGAAAATGGTTGGGAGTTCGCAAATATAAGTTACCACATTAAACGCACTTCGGAAAAAAAATTACGTAGATGAAAAAATTCACATCATGGTTCAACAAAAAATGTTTGTGTTCTTTACTTTGAGAGAAAGAGAAAATGAAGAGAATTAAAGTTCTCAAGCTTAGTTCTCACTAAGGTTTTGTATACTGTGGTGAACATGGTAGTACCTAATCTGGTGAGTGTTTGTCTTTTAGCCAATAGGGTTCTAAACCCCTTAGCTCCAACCTCGAGGCAGTGCGCCGTCGTCTTAAGATCATGACTCACTGTTACCCCAAGATCCTTGTGAGACTGGACCACGGGTACAATAATTTATATGCTGTACCTATTTATCTTTGTATCTTCAAAGTACATGTAGACACAATTTGCCGCGTTGATAGACATCAGCCACTCTTTAGACAACTTAATCACAATATTTAAGTCTGTCCGAGGTGTGCATATATATACGTCTCCTGTTATTTCTCGACAGATGTTTACGTCATTAGCGTATAGTAACATTGGCTACTCAGATATACTTGGAAGACCATTTACATACAGCAAAAAAAGTAAAGGACTTAGGACGGAACCTTGCAATACTCCATTAAGAACCGGTCTCCAGGAGGAGCACTTCAGATTTACTCTAATTTTCTTACCTAAGGAAATCACCATGCCAAAATAAAGAACCGACTCGATTTACGCTTCGTGTATCTGGAAGCCCTGATCGTGCTTCCCGTGGCCTCGCCGGCGTAGGTATAGCATTGAGTCCTAGGGCAGAACTAGCTCTCTTAGAGTGGATCCCAGTAGACAGTCGTTTGTGCGCTGTCCGACTGAACGGAACAGTAAGAATCCGGAAAGATAGGGACACTCGTCGTTGCCTCTTCGTCATCTCTGCCTATTCTCCCACTGACTGCAGCTCAGATGATGTAAAAGATGAGTTTCACAGAAAGCTTTTGGACCTTCTCCGAAAAGCTAAGCGGTGGATCTTATGGTGTCGTGGCTCAAAGAACAGATAGTGGCGACCGTCTGTTGCAGCTATGCTCAGATAACCGCCTGTTCCTTGCAAATACTAACTTTAAGCATAAAGAAAAACATCTTTTAACATGGCGACCCCCTAATTTGTCCCAACGTTGGACCCAAACAGATCACATCGCTATCAGCCACCGATGGAGGGGCTCGATAGAAGACTGTCGCTCATTCTGGAGCACATGCCTAGATTCAGATCATGCTCTAGTGCGAGCGCGTATTTGCTTGCGTCTTACTGGACGTAGGAAAGACGCTGCAAGGAAACCTCTTAGGGTGCTGTTTAATGATAGTCGAGCTAAGAGTATATTTCAGGAACAACTAGGAAGACAGTTAGACAGCCATGTATGTGATGCCCACCCCGATGCAGCATGGAATGATATCCGAAAAGCTGTGGAAACAGCAGTGATATCTGCTAGTAAGGTAAATCAGAAGGTTAGGGAGCAACACTGGATCTCAGCAGCATCTATCTCACTGATAGATGCTCGGAAACTCATTCCACCTGGCTCTGAACATGATGAAGAGCGGAGTCAGCTTAAGCGCAAGCTGACAAGAAGTCTACGCAATGATCGCGAACAGTGGTGGGTAGCGAAAGCAAGAGAGATGGATAGGGAGTGAAGTAGTTGAGTGTGTCGACCGCTTCACTTATCTTGGAAGTCTCATCAGCCCTTGTGGTTTAGTGTGTGACGAAATCTCAGCACGGATACAGAAGGCTAGACTAGCTTTTGCCAACTTGCGTCATTTATGGAGTAGGCGAGATATCCGTCTATCAACCAAAGGACGTGCTTGCGGTGCAGCAGTTCATTCCATCCTACTTTATGGCAGTGAAACATGGTCGGTGAGAGTAGAGGATATTCGTAGGCTACTAGTATTTGATCATAGGTGTCTTCGAAACATTGCTCGTATATCCTGGGACCATGGAGTAAGTAACGCAGTTGTTAGGAAACGGGTACTAGGTAAGGATGGCAAATCAATTGCTGAAGTAGTGAAACTTCATCAGTTGAGATGGCTGGGACACGTGTTACGTATGCCCAACGACCGACTGCCTCGACGTACTATGTTCAGTGGTATAGAAGTAGGTTGGAAGAAAGCTAGGGGCGGCCAAACCAAAACATGGCACAAATCCATGAAGTCAATGACAAGTGAACTGAGTCATGTTGGTAGGTGAAGACTACCTGATTGGTGATCGCGAGATGATAGCAACCGATGGTTAGAGACCCTGAATGACATGGCTCAAAATCGTCTGCAATGGCACAGGTGCATCCACTCTTTGTGTTCTCCCAAATTCTAATCTTCTGAATTCTTCATGTTCCTTTTTTCTTCACTGGATTATACTCTTTGAATAACATCTTCAAACCCTAATCTTTCCGATTAGTGCTTATACTCTTACAACCTCTACCACTATGGGATTTGAATCGACAACTGCATCTCTGTGCTAATGTGGTGTGGCAACTCGAACTGATGTACGTACGTACGTACGAAGTTCTACGTTGTTACTGACTGACTGACCTAAGGAAATCTTAAATGCATTTTAAGAGAGGTCCGGCAATGCCTGGATTTTCCAGCGTCAAGAACAGTCTATTTGTTGGCACCTAATCAAATGCTTTTTTGAAGTCCGTCAGGGCAGACACACATCATTTTTACAGTTATGATATACGAAATTTAACATTAGTTTACTTATAGTAGGGTTGTAACAGCTTAGGTTGGTTGGTTAAGAGTTGACCCCAAACAACCAAGCATATGCCAAAACAGTATTGTTCAAGTATTCATTCACTTCCTTATTTGTATAAGCGTTATATTCCCTAATATCTTATATTGAATGTTGAGAGCCTTTGTTTGTCTGAACAGATAATCCCACGCTCCACTGTGCCTGCGCGAAGATCGAAATAAAGACCTAGTCACTACTTCTCTGGTTTCTTCTATCAATAGCACGAGGGTTACCTTAAGGCACGAAAGTGGTGAGCCCTTTTTGAACACAAAATTAACCTCATTTCTGTTATTAACATTTTTTTACTTAATCGTAAAAGTAGACCTGATTATCCGTTAACTAAGTTGAGTATATAACTAGTTTATTCCGTATTATCTTAAGTTATTCGTGTTATAGTAACCATTTTTCGTGCTAACTTTATTGCTATATTTGTCACATACCTCATGTCAGACTCAATAGAAACCCATAATCTGGAAGCTTTGTCACCAGTGGAGATAGACACTGTTATGACTACGAAATCCCGACTTCCAGAATTTGATCGTAGTGATCCTGAGTTGTGGTTTGCTCAAATAGAGCATTATTTCACGAGACACAATATCAAATCTGAAGGGATTCGCTATAGAGACTTGTGTTCTATTCTTCCTCCTTCAGTCGCCAAAGAAGTCCGTGACTTGATTTTAGATCCACCATCACCACAACCATACACCATCTTAAGACGAGAGATAATGAACCGTTTATCATTATCAGATAGTCAAAGAATCCAAAGACTTTTTCAAGGTGAAACACTAGGTGATCGGTCGCCGTCACAGTTTTTACGTCACCTCCTAGTCTTAGTGGGTGATAACACAGTGGGTGAAGCAGTCCTAAAACAAGGATGGATACAAGCTCTCCCATGCTACGTCCAACACTGTTTGGATGCACAAGATCCTGAAACCTCATTATCTCATTTAGCGCGTATAGCCGATAGAATAATGGAAAGAGGTCCTCCAACTGGATCAGGCACAATAAATCACACACAAAATGTAGAATCAGCAAAAGACCCCGTCATAGAAGGACTCATTGCAAGTGTTAAGAGTCTCACTGAGGCTGTCACCAGAATGCAAATGGGTCATAGAAACAGGAGCAGGTCACCACAACGACCACGATCCAAGTCACAAATGTCCAGACAATCTGGGCAGTTTTGTTGGTACCACTGGAAGTTTGGTGTCAACTCAACCAAGTGCACGCAACCATGCGCCTGGCCTAAGCATAATTCTAAGACAGCGGGAAACGAGTAACCCCTCCCCAGGTCGCGACGACTGAGGAGGGGCGCCTAAACAGTCGCTTGTTTTATGTTAGAGACAGAAATTCTGGCTTGAATTTCTTGGTGGATACTGGCGCTGCTCTTAGCATCATCCCTCAAAATAAAACTGAGATTAGTCGAGAAACATCATCAATTACACTTCAAGCTGCAAATAAAACTAAAATTGCGACATTTGGGCAGAAAACTTTAACCCTAGATTTGGGGTTCAGGAGGCAATTCTCTTGGGTTTTCACGGTAGCCGACTTAGATTTGGCAATACTGAGGATGGACTTTCTAGAGAGATACGAATTTCTAGTTGACACCAAGAAACGGCGATTAACACTAAAAGAAACTTCGCATTACACAAAAGGCAAAGAAAGTCACATCAGCTCTCTTAACTTGATTCAAACTCCTCCAGTAACAACAGCGAAATTCCAAGATATACTCGCGGAATTTCCAAACTTAACTAAACCAAACCCACAGCCTTCCAAAGACAAACTAAAAGTGAGTCACACTATGAAAACCAAAGGTGCACCGGTGTTTGCAAAACCCAGGAGACTAGCACCAGATAAGCTCAAAATCGCTAGGGCCGAGTTTGATTATATGCTACAGTTGGGTATTATCCGTCCCTCTGATAGTCAATGGGCATCCCCTT